TTTTTGAGACGGAGTCTTGCTCTGTCATCCAGGTTGGGATGCAGTGGCCCAATCTTGGCTCACGGAAACCTCCACCTCCCAGGCTCAAGCAATTCTCCTGCCTCCGCCTCCTAAGTAACTGAGATTACAGGTGCACGCCAACATGCTCGGCTAATTTTTATATTTTTAGTAGAGGCAGGGTTTCGCCATGTTGGCCAGGCTAGTCTCGAACTCCTGCCCTCAGATGATCCACCCACCTCAGCCTCCCAAAGTGCTGTGATTACAGGTGTGAGCCGCCATGCCCAGCCGATGGAATCTTTTTGTTTAAAAAGTTCCTATTTTGAAACTTTAAATTTCTCCTAGGCCGGGCATAGTGGCTCATGCCTGTAATCCCAGCAGTTTGGATAGCCGAGGCAGGTGGATCACCTCAGGTCAGGAGTTCAAGACCAGCCTGGCCAACATGGTGAAACCCCGTCTCTACTAAAAATACAAAAATTAGCCAGGTGTGGTGGCTGGTGCCTGTAATCACAGTGACTGCAGAGGCTGAGGCAGGAGAATCACTTGAACCTGGGAGGTGGAGTCTTCAGAGAGCTGAGATCTCGCCACTGCACTCCAGCCTGGGTGACAGAGCGAGATTCTGTCTCAAAAAAAAAAAAAATCTGAATGTCCCTGCCAATATTTCAACACTATTCACTGTGCTATAAGATCACGCCACTGCATTCCAGCCGTGTCATATTGTGACCCTCTAAATAAAAAAAAAAAAAAAAATTCTCCTTTTTGATATGATCACATGTTGAATTTATTTTATTTAATGTTTTTATAACTGAATTAATAAAGTGCCCAGTAAATGCTACAAATCAATAAGTATTGTCTGAATGAAAATAAATTGAAATTAAGATTAGTTTCAAATATAGTCTTTCTTGAAAGAGTGAGTTTGGCCATCCTAAATTACAGTTTTCAAGATTGATCTACTTTCTTTCCGAGGTCACCATACTCATGGTACTAGAATTTACGTGTCTACATAAAAAACACACTATATGATTTCTCTTTGACTTAAAAACAAAATATACAAACAAAATTATAAATCTGATTAACTGTATGGGTTTTTTATTCAATTGATTTAACTGTGTTTTCTCCTAGGATATAAATCAGGAGACACAGCAAGCTCAAAGATGTGGGACTCAAATGTCACTCGTTAAAAATTCAGATACCCTGTTTGCCATTATAGTTATGTTAATTACCACACTTTAATAAAGTGATCATTATTTAAAACTCTTCCTACCTAGTTGGCCACTTATTTACTCCATTCCTCAGCCATAGAAGTAAATACTGCATGTCTAAAATTGGTGCTGGTTTTGATAAGCCATAGTGATTACATCAGCCTGAGTTCCAACTCCTGGAGTAAAGAACTGTGACCATGCAGTGACTTGTGGGCAGTTAGGTCCCAACATCAATCTTGTCCTCTCATGCCACTGATTTGGAGCCAAGGTTTGTGCTCCAAGATACCAAACCAGGTGAAAGGAATTACATTTCTATTTTCAAATGCAAGGGATTTAAAAGTATATATGGCGCACAAAAAAGTCAACATATTTAATGCCTAATGCCACTGAACTGCACACATGATGATGGTTAAAACTCTAAATTGTATGTAATATATTAGACCGCAAGTAAGAAAAACAAAACAAAACAAAACTGTGTTCATGTGTTTCAAAGGTTTTCCACAATTGTATAATATACATAGTTGGTTATACCTTCTGACAGTGACCAGATCACTCTTTCTGCAACATCTGTTAACCCAGGCTCCCCAGGGCCTAAGTAAGCACCTATTCTTCAGGAATTGGTAAACAGCACTTATTAGCTAAAAGTAGCACAGACAACAAACAAACAAACAAACCTCAAAAATGCCATATAAAGGCAGGCGTTGGACAAGGAGCCTATGAAAACACTCCTTGCTCCTCCGCATTGCTCTAGTGTGAGAAACTAGGATATGGAGAAACTCCTACCTCCTATCTCAGTAATAGCCAATCCTGCTTGACTGCAACAAGGATAAGTAAATGCTGACCTGAAGTAGCTGCTGGGCTTCAGGACCCCAGACTGTTGTTCAGGCACTTCCTAGAGGGTGAAGCACCATGCCAAAGGCTGAGGAGGCAACTCGCATCTTTCATTTTCCTGCCTCATCAAGAGTGAATCTAGGCCGGTAGCAGTGGCTTACCCCTGTAATCTCAGCACTTTGGGAGGCCAAGCGGGGCTGATCACAAGGTCAGAAGATCGAGACCATCCTAACACGGTGAAACCCAGTCTCTACTAAAAATACAAAAAATTAGCCAGCTTGGTGGCGCATGCCTGTAATACCAGCTACTCTGGAGGCTGAGGCAGGAGAATTGCTTGAACCCGGGAAGCGGAGGTTTCAGTGAGCCAAGATCGTGCCACTGCACTCCAGCCTGGGTGACAGAAGGAGACTCAGTCTCAAAAAAAAAAAAAAAGAAAGAAAGAAAGAAAGTGAACCTTGAAGGCGCTCATAGGTCGCGCAGTGTTTTGCAAGCTACAAAAGGGCTGTAACTGTCTGGGGTTGCAGACAGAAAATCGCATTAACATGAGAGAGGTATTTGAAATAAAGGACCTCCCCCGCCACCCACCCACAGTTATCATAGTTATCAGGCTACAATTATCATAGATGTCAGGCTACAGTTATCATAGTCATTCTGCTCTTATTGCACCCAGGACAAACTTCTATCTCTGCATATATGTCATTTTAATGACATATCCTGTCTGCGCCCAGACAATAATGTGAGCAGCCCCGTGATCTCTATGTGTGCATAACCAGTGCCTAACTCAAGTCCTGGCTCCTGGAAGGCGCTCAGCGAGTCGGGGAGTAAGTGAGGAGCTCAACTCTGCAGCTGTACCCGAGACAACGCGGGCAGGAGCAGAGGACACTCCAGCGCTCTGCGGTCGCAAACACACCCCTGCACGTGCTGCCACTTCCAGAACTCTTAGGTTTCCGCTTACTCGCACACGCATCCCGACTTCCCCCAACCCTGGAACTACCTACCAATAGCGGAGACCAGCAGACCGACAGCACGCACATGATCCCCATGAGCTGAATGGCCGTCTCAGTCGTGATGCGGCCCCACTGGGCACTGGACTGCGACGCCGTGGCCTTGGCCCGGCAGCGGGACACCAGGGCCTTAATGGTGGCCAGGTTGCAGGCAAAGGTGATTGTCAGCGCCAAGAGCCCCAGGAAGGCAAAGGCAGAGGCGAAGAAAAGGTTGCCCCAGTTATGCGAAGAGCTAGTCCCGTTGCCCCCTCGCCCGGTGCTGATGAAGCACCACGTCCCGGGCCACTGCACCGTGTACTGGCCCACGCCCAGCACCGGCAGCAGGGCGAAGGCGAGCACGGCCAGCCACACACCGAGCAGCACAGCGCGGGTGGCGCGCGTCTTCATGTGGCTCGCGTACCAGTGCGGCGCCCTGATGGCCAGCGCCCGCTCGACGGCCATGGCGCTGGCGATGAACAGCGAAGAGAGCCCGAACACAGTCATGGTCAGCCCGAAGAAAGTGCAGAGCCGCCCCGACGGGTCGAGCTGCTCCCAGCGCTGCTTGGACAGGTACACGACGATGACCACCGGGGTGGTGAGAAGCTGCCCGACCAGGTCGGTGAGCGCGAGCCAGCCGATGCACAGCAGGAAGGACTTCTTGCGCTTGCTCTCCCGGCGCCGGTAGCTGCGCGACACTAGCAGCATGGCCAGCGCGTTGCCCACGAAACCGGTGAGCAGCATGGTGATGGGGAAGGCCACGGACACCGATCCGCAATCCTCGCCGGACCCTGGAGGGCGCGTGAGGTTGCCCCGCGCCTCGGCGGAGCGCTCGGGCGCCCACATGCCAGTGTAGGAGTGGTTGAGGCGGGTGCAGAAGGGGGCACCCCCTCCGTAGCCCCGGGTCTCCTTCATGTTGGCTTCGAGGTGAGGAGGGGATGGCATCCAGAAAGCCGCAGCGGGACGGGGCAGGAGCTGCGCGGGCGGCGGCGGAGGTCGGCTGCTACCGCGGCTGGGGCTGGGCTGCCCTCCATGGTGAGGGGGCGCAGCGGCCGCACTACTCCGCTACTGAGGCCGCGGTCGCGGCGGCGCCAGGGCTCGCTGGCCCCGGAGGCAGCCGCGCCTTCCTCTCCGAGAAACCTCTGGCTCCGAGGCGCGCAGAGATGCCCGGTCCCCTCTATAAGGCCGAGGGGGCGGGGCGCCCGTGGGTGTGGACAGAACCGAGGTGGGAGGAGGGTACAAAGCAACTGAGTGCCTCTCTTGGCTGTTGCCTAGCCTGAACGCCTGGGTTGAGAAAACCCCCAGCCGGGCTCCTCTGAAATGCCCTGCTCCTGGCCGGACGCGGAGCGCACTAGGCCCCTCCTCCAGTTCTCCGCCAAAGTGTCGGGGGGCGGCAAGCAGCTAGTAAGTCTCACTGCGCTTGAGGACCCCAGGCAAGCTGCCGAGGCGCACCTGAGCGCTCGCCCTCCTGCGTCTTCGACCACAAACACTCCTACAGGGACCGGATCCTTCTCTCGAAGTCCTTTAGTAACTCTTGGTAAAGTGTAAATCGCCTGTCCTTAAGCAATCCACACAAGCCTTTGCATAGGTGATCGTTAACTTTTCTCTTTTCTGCTTTGGGACTCTGCTTGAGTGATTATAAAACGGTCAAGCCGTCCTGTCTCCTGGGGTGCCGCTAAAAACTATAAAATTACTAGAGAATGCCTGTAGACTTAAGGGAATAGACACAGGGAAACACGTTGGATGGTTGAATTCCAGGCCCAAGAAATCCCATCTATTACCCCTCGCCTAATCCTGCCCGCTCCCCTCGCCCTCCGACCCTAGCAAATCGGTCAGCTAGGGCCAAAGTGGCTACAGGAGGGTGGCACAATTTGCATACCTGAGGTAGTGAAATCAGCTGCTCCCAGCCTATGGGAGTGAGAGGGGAGCAGAGGAGAAAGGTATTCCTTACAAAGCCTCCAACCATCTTTCTTGTCTTCATACAATAAGAACTAGAAAAATACTTAGATGTTATGAAGGCCTTAATCTATATGGAAACTTTGCCTTTGACATAATAAACATTGAATGAAAAATAGGCATACTTGCATGCCTCATAACATCTTCCAGTAAGCCATATGTTATGTACTTCGCACAAGCATTTTCATATTTTATCACAGAAATCCTCCAAGGTACTATTGCCATTATTATTAAGTCTTTTTTTTTTTTCCTTTTCATGCTGTTCAAGAAATAAAAAGATTTTTAAAAATAAGTGCAAAGTTCATTTTCCCTCATATTTATAAGAAATTAGACATAATCATATAGCACTATAAAGACCATTATTCTGATGGACATAGATCAACTTTCAGATCAAGCCCGATCAGTTTTGCCTTTCCTAGCTTAGCTGATGTTCTGTATGGGTGTTCTTTACTTTTAAATAAAACAGAGGTAAGAATGGGATATGTAGGCCAGGGCAGTGGCTCAAGCCTGTAATCCCAGCACTTTGGGAGGCCGAGGCAGGCGGATCATGAGGTCAAGAGATGGAGACCATCCTGGCCAACATGGTGAAACCCGGTCTCTACTAAAAGTACAAAAAATTAGCCCGGAGTGGTGGTGAGTGCCTGTAGTCCCAGCTACTCAGGAGTTTGAGGCAGGAGAATTGCTTGAACCCGGGAGGCAGAGCACTGCACTCCAGCCTGGCGCTTGGTGACGCTCTGAGCAAGACTGTCTTAAA